CTCCCTCCCTCCCTCCCTCCCTCTCTCTCTCTCTCTCTCTCTCTCTCTCTCTCATTGTGCAGTTTTTCTGTGGTCTTGGTGCCCCCTAGTGGCTCATTACGGCTCACTGCACCAAAGGCCTGTGACGAAGCGCTTCAGTGGTCCAAAGGCCAATGTGGGTGGCCCTGGGAGAGCACATCTCTCTGCTCCCAGAGGACAGCCAGACCCACCATTAAAGATCTTTCTATGTAATTCAGGCTGTCTTCAGACTTACTAGGCAGTCTCGGTAGGCCTCAAATTCACTGAAACCCCGAGTGCCTTACAGCGGAGTGCAGCCCACCAACACTGTGCCTCAGTCAGGCCCTCAGGAAGACTCCGCAGGGGTCAAGGCAGAGGAAACAGCACCAAGGTAGTATGTCACATCTGGGCTTCCACCCCAGTACCTCCTTCCCATTCTCAGTTGGGCTATGTGGGCTTCAGTGGCATTCTCTGCTGTACCCACCAGGAACTTTTCATTTCTCAGAGCTTGTTTTGGGGGGAGAGAAGACATCAAAGAAACTGAAGTTAAGGACTTAATGTTATATATATATATATATTTATATATATACATATATATATATACATACATATATATATATGTTTCTCTTCCCCAAAGGATGCCATCTAGAATCTCCTCTACCAAGGAGATCATGGGGATGGAGGGGATACGTTTGAAGGAACAACGTTTGAAGGGAGGGTGATAGACATATACGACATAAGAGCAGACTCTACATAAGAGCAGACTCTGGCATCTTGAGAGTGGAATGGTACAAAACGTCAGAGCAGGGAGGTGGGGAGAGAGTGTTGTAACGATGCCACAGGAAACCTGTTGCTGTGTGCGAACATAGACATTAAAAATAAAAAGTCTTGCTGGGTGGCTGGGGCACACGCCTTTAATCCCAGCACTCTGGAGGCAGAGGCGGAGGCAGATGGATCTCTGTGAGTTCGAGACCAGCCTGGTTTACAAAATGAATTCCAGCACAGCCAGGGCTGCTACACAGAGAAACCCTGGAGGGGTTGGGGAGGGGGGTCTCCCCAGGAAGCGATTAGCCAGCTTCTGTTTCTCTGTGAGCCTTGTGTGCAAAGATGGAGAAGGCATTCTTTCCACGTCTGCAAAGTAAACACACGAAAAACTCCCACCCAGTGAGGCCAGGGCTCTGATATGGGTATTTAGGATTTTCCCCATCATTCTAGAAATGGCTTCCAGCATTCAAAACTGAGAAACGTCATCAAGTACCCGGAATGCTACGGAAAGTAGACAGCAATCCACAGACACCCTCTGTAAGCACCACCCCAGTTCCCAGCCTCTCCCCTCACCCCACAGCTTTTCTTTTCCTCCACCCACCTGTGCAGGGCCAAAGGGAAACAAAACAGAGGAGACTAGAGCCTGTCCCTTGTCACCGCCCACATACCAAAGACCCTCCCCTTCCTGTTTTCTTCTTTCCCCTTGAAAGGCCTACCTAAAACCTTAAGAAGTGGCTTAATCTGTAGCCTTTCTGAAAATCCGTTAATCATTTATCTGTCTTTGAGATCATCTGAGATACCCTGGAGATACATTCACCAATACCGGAGCCAGTGTTCACTCAAGGCTACTGACTACTTGAAATGTGGTCAGTCTGAACTGCAATGTGGCCAAGTGCAAAATACACTTCATATCTTAAAGATTTAAGACAGGAAAAAAACTATATCTTTTTTAAAAAAAATCAATTAGACGTTGAAATGACTTTTTAGATACACAAAACTGTGTCAAAATTAATTTCTTCTGTTTTCTTTATGTGGATCCCAGGCTATTTAAAACTACAAATGTGACTCACATTATATGTGTTTGGACAGTGATGTGGAGGTTTAGAAAGCCAGAACTGGGCCCAGGGTAGAACTTAGTGGTAGAGTAATTTACCCTAACATCAACAAGGTCTTGGGTAGGCTCCTCAGCACCACAAAACAAAACAGAAAGGCCAAGCTGAGGAATCTCGACCCAGTAACATTTTTAACCCCTTGGGACCGCAGGGAGGCAGAACTGATACTGTTTCCACAGGCATAGAGTTGGCAAGCAGCAGGTTCTCTCATGACCAGGGCAAACTTTGCTTGGAATCATATCACTTACCCTTTTGGTTTTGTTGTTGTTGTTTGGTTAGTTGGCTTTTTGAGACAGGGTTTCTCTGTGTAACAGCCCTGGCTGTCCTGGATCTCACTCTGTAGCCAAGGCTGGCCTCAAACTCACAGAGATCCGCCTGCCTCTGCCTCCCGAGTGCTGGGATTAAAGTCGTGCATCGCCACCACCGGACAATACTTACGTTTTTTTTTTAAACACAAAGTCTTAATGTGAATCTCAGGTGAGCCTGGAACTTAGACCCTTCCTGCCTCAGCCTTGCAAGTGCTGGGCTTACTGGAATACCCTATGGGGTGCAACTCTAACACTATCTTTTAAGGGTATCTTTAAACTGCTCTTCTAAAATTTGGATACCCCACACTGTATTACCCCATAACTCAGGTAATTTCTCCAAAGTATGCACCCCCAAAGTCCAAATTACAACATAAAATTGGAATCCTAAGAAGGTTAAAATTCTAGAAGCAGGAGCTGGGGAGATGGCTCTATTAGCATTCTTACCTTGCAAACACGAAGACCTGGATTTAGTTTCCAGAGCTCATGGATAACTGCCTGGGCATTGTGGCACACACTTGTATTGAGGCAGGTAGACACCAGAAGACCCCTGGGGCTAGCTGGCCAGCTAGGCTAGCCTAATCAAAGTCCCAGACTAGTGATAGACACTGTCTCAAAACACAAGGTTAATGGCACCTGAGGAACAAGACTTGAGGGCTGACCTCTGACCTCTGCCTGCACAGGCACACTACATAGCTGTAAACACATTGATCCCCAACATACACACGCATCAGGACACACAGGAGCATACATACAAACACATAATTCTGGAAGCATATCCAAACATGGTGGCTCACACCTTCATAACAGCATTCTAGCATCAGGAAGACAGAGGCAGAAGAATCACATGTTAGAGGTAAGCCTGACCTGCATTGTTTTGTTTTGTTTTTTCTTCTTCTTTAAATAGAATCAATTGGGCTTCTATTGTGGGTACCAGATTAGAAAAGGGACTGAGTAAATGCCCGAGGTCAGATTTCTGGAGGAAACTTAGTGCCAGGCATACTGCACAGAAGGAGGTAGAGATGAACGGAGAGTGGGGAGCCGTGGATACTCTCTCATATTCAAAGCTTCTGAGTGGAAATCGGCACTATTTTTCTGGAGAATAATATGCATACATATTCTTTAAAATGACCATACCTTTTGACCCAATATTTCTATTTCCAGTAACTAACCGTAAGGAAAAAATGTAAAGGCACCATATCTGGATATAAGAATACTCAACCATCACTGCAATGGCGCTGCGGGGGCGGGATGGGGTTGGGGGACACAATGATGACCCCAGAGCAACTGAACTGGTCACTAATGAACAGTAAATTCACTTTAGGTGTAGCTATAACAACAACTATTACAAACAAAGTAAATGAATACTTACTGTCATGAAAAGGTATTTATAATAAATTCTGTGAAGAAGCCCGGCTACAGAATTCAGAATTGTATATACAGTATGTATGCTGATTTTGCTTTTAAAAAATATTAGAAATAATACATTTGCAAAGACAGTCATATGGAAAAGATATTCTCCAATATATCCGTACGGAACTGCATCTCTGGACAGTAGGGCTGTGGGTGGTTAGTTTATTCTAAAGTTTTTAAACCAGGCACGTTGGCATAATCCCAGTATTTGAGAGCTGAAGGCACAGGGATCAATAGTTCAAGGCCAGCCTCAGATACATTGCAAATTTGAGGGCAATGGTGCTATATGAGATGCTGTCTCCAAAACAACGAAAAGGAAATATAAATTTAAAAAATTAAAGTTACTTTAAAGTAATAATATTTGGTCTTCATTATCACCTAAAACTGAAACCTGCTTTCTCCTAAGACTTTCTAAGCCCTAGTTAGTAGAAGTATTAACGCAAACTAAGTGTAGTGGAGCACGGCAGTAAATTCGAGGACCCAGAATTCCAGTCCAGCCCAGGTGAGCAAAAAAGCTACCAACGTCTTAACATGTTAAGATTCTGACACTTCCCCAGCACCCACTTTGGGGTTTCAACCTGTGCCATCTCTTCCTTTAGAGCCGCGTGTGCACCCCTTCCCAAGGGTCCTGTGTCTTCTTGGTGATTGCCTTACTGCCCAGGTGAGACCCTGTCAAACCTGCGGGGTTACTTTTAAAAAGTCCAACTTTGGCTAGGGCTGGGAGTCCTTGGAACTGAAATCCAAAGGTTAAAAATCACTAAGACCAAGTGCTAGGGCAGGAACAGAGGCCCTGAGGCCCGACTGAAGACCTCCCTGAGGGTGGAGAATAATCTGGAAGCCCGGGTCACGTTGCAGCAGCTATGTCTTTCCGTAAAGAGCGCGGACGCAGCACCGCGCTGAATTTGGTCCCTCTGGAGACGCCGTCCGGGCGCCCGCCTCGCTCACATCACGTGACCGAGTCTTTCCGTGAAGCAGGAAGCGTTTTGCTGCGGGGTCTAGGACTGGGGCCGATAGCGGGCGGGATGGAAGCGACTTTGGAGCAGCATTTGGAGGACACGTGAGTAGTGCGTGCGGCTGGTCCTGCGCTCCGGACCGGGAAGCTGGAGCGGGACCAGCGGCATGGACTGCGAGTGTCCGGGGAAACGTTTGGGGCGCTCGGGGCGGCCAGCGGGGGGCGGCCAGCGGGTGACTTCTGCAGACGTCCGGGCTGCGGGTGACTCCAAATAAAGTTTCCCAGGCTCTGTATGCTTCCTTATGGAGCAAGAGTCTTGCGGGCCCCAGCAAGAGACCCGAATCACCTGTCGCCTCGAAATCGTCCGTAGGGTCCGAGTAGCTCTTCAGAAGTTTGGGAAAGGATGTACCAGATGTGCTAAATTGAGCCCTGCAATGCAAATGCACACGCATATCTTCCCGCGTGTATAACTCATCAATTACTCAGCGCTTATGAAGTAAAGACATCCGTTAAATTTTTCGGCTATCTCTGTAACATTTAAAATTGGCAAGTGTAAAGTGGCTTACAAGGAGGCACCTCCCCCTTTAGGTTCATAATCCCCTCCAGGAGCAATTCCTGTTACTTAAGACTTTTAACAGTTGTTTGAAATGAGTTGCTATCCTAGAGCATGCTTCTACACCAAGGACAAAACCCTATAGACAACTGCAGAGTTTGTGGCACTCTGAAGCCCAGAGGTACCTGGCACAGTCCGTTGTGAGAAAATGATTTCTTAACAGTTCAGTTTTTCTTTTGGAAGGGGGCGATAGTTTTTTTTTTGTTTGTTTTTTAAAGTCAGATTTGAAGCGCTTAATACTTAATGCATAGAAAGCTTATTTGTACTACAATAATTTAAGTATTTCTTCACATCATCTGGCTCGTCTTTCTTGTGTTCCTAAAATTAGAATGAAGAATCCATCCATTGTTGGAGTCCTGTGCACAGATTCACAAGGACTTAATCTGGGCTGTAAGTGTCTCATACCAGCCTCCCTTTGAGGTTCACTGGGAGTTTTACTTTGCTACTATTTTCTAGCTTTATTCCGGTTACCTTTTAAGCATAGAGAATATCTCCAAGTAAGACTAGAAAATTGAAGCCTTTCAGTTTTTTTTTTAAAGGCAGAAATGTTCCTCCCAGTTCTGCAACTGTCCCTACTAAAGTGGTTTTGAGTAATTTTCAAGTGGTCTAGAAAAGGGCTTTAGATAAGAGTAATCATTAATGAATGCATTCCATATGCAGGGACTGTCTGTCGGGCCTTATTATTTCCTTAATTGCTTCAATAACTGAAAAATGGATGAGGCTAGCTGTTAATACAGCCACTCTTAGAGTCAGTAAAGTAGGGACTTCACAGAGTTAGACACATCTGACTTTAACCCCATTCTCCTATTCTGTCTGCTAGCAACATGAGCCCAGAACAGAAAGTTCTGGGGGGGGGGGCTTCACATTTTTCATTGGGTTATTTGATGATGCAACAAATTAAGAATTAAATGTGTTGGGCTCTTAAGTGTCAGACACCATTCTTTTTTCTTACTCTACTTGGCCCTGGCTGTCCTGGAACTCACTATATAGACCAGGCTGGCCTATAACTCACAAATATCCTGCCTCTGTCCCCGAAGTCCTAGGAATAAAAGTGTGCACCACCACACCTGGCTAGACACAGTTCTTAGTATTTTACATTGTACAAATGTGAATATTCCTCAGAAAAGACCTTTGTGGTAGAGAAATTAAAATATAGAGCTTAATTAAGTACTTTGCCCAAGGTTTTACAACTAATGAATGGTTGAGATAGGATTTCTTAGCTGCCTCCAAAGCTTAAATCACTCAGTGTAGAACCAAGATGTGATGTTCAATAAACTGTAGCAATTACAAATAAGAAACAAAGTCCAGAAAGGTAAATAGTACCAGGTGGGGGTGGCGCATGCCTTTAATCTCAGCACTTGAGAGGCAGGTGGATCTCTGAGTTCAAGGCCAGCCTGGTCTGCAAAGCGAGTTCCAGGACAGCCAGGGCTACACAGAGAAATCTTGTCTTGAAAAGCAAAATAAATAAATAAATAAATGAAGAGCTGTAGATGAATTTCTAAATGGTCTTATTAAGTAAAAAACATGGAGCCAGATATATGGGTGAAAGCCTGGAAGAGATCAGGAAAATAGGGAAAGCCACAGCTAACCTCACCTCACCAGCTCTGCAGCTTCCAAATGCGGTGACTTCCTGTTTACCCACACCTATATGCCTTGCTGTTCTGCCATCTGATTTGCTCTCTCCACCCAGCTACAACATTTCCTCTTTCTGCCCAGCTCTGTCACTTCCTGTCTGTCTGTCTGTACAGTCCTCAAGACCTCCATGGATAACTAGTTTTGGAATTTAAGGCGTGTGCCACCACACCTGGCTCTGTTTCCAGTGTGGCCTTGAACACACAGAGATCCTGCCTGCCAAGTGATAGGATTAAAGGCGTATGCTACTGCTGCCTGATTTCTTTGTTTACTTATAATGGCCTTTTTCCTCTGATCTCCATGCAAGCTTTATCTATTAAAGCACAAATAAAATATCACCACAAATAGCTAAAGACTGAAGTTAATTAATGTCAGAAACTAGTAAACCTAGGAATTAGTTTAACTAATGCAGGCCTTTTTAGAGCTCTGAACTTTGCTGGTACAGTAACAGACAGAGGTAATAAGGTTATGTCATCTACAAAAACCAGTCATTTGGAACAAAGGTAAATTGTTTGAAACATTTGCCAGGTCACTAATGGACAATTTTTAAATTCACGTGTGAAAATCTAAAACTGAGTAAGTAAAACCTTCAAGGTATGAGGTTACTATTTGCTGTAGACCTTTAGGCTGCACTTTGACCTGTGGATTTTTTTTATGTAATAATAGTGAATCCAGATTTTCTGCCAGGATGGTTTATTGTCTACTACCTTAGTTTCAGATGTAAGCAACCTCCTGTTGCCTTTATTTCAGGGATCTGTTGTAAGCTTGGTGGTTACACTTAGTATCTAGGACATGATTTAGTTAATAACACAAGCCAAAGCAATAGTCAAGAATCCTTGAGACATTTGAATATAGCCCAGCTAGCTTATGCTGGCAGAAATAATTGCTTACACATCTTCACATATGCTGGCAAGGTGATCTTACAGCAGAACTTTCTGAGTAACAACTTGTTCTTTGAAGTTGAGCTTAGAAAATCAGATTTCCCATAAGGAATTAGTTTCAACAAGTCCCTTATCCACATTGAGACACTCTCACCTTTAAATTTCTTGGTTTCAGCATAATTCCTATAAAATAAATTTATGATCATCAGATTGATTTGAATTCCAGCTTCCTTATATGCTTGAGGTGTTTAGAGATAGTATGGTGATAGGAATAACTGAAAACTGATTTACAACTTTACTGATTTAAGAACAATTGCCAGACTTCCTCGCTGATGTTATCAGCTGAATACCAGGTGGAGAAAATCATTTCATGGCCGTATTTAACCTAAAAGGCCATGAGCTAAGTTTTTTTTTTTTTTCTGAATAATTCAGTAGGAGATACTACACTATAGGTTTATATTCATTTTTAGACACTTAGGTAACAATTTCATCTCTTTTCTAGGTCGTGGTACCCTGTCAGATGAGCATGCTGGAGTGATATCTGTTCTAGCCCAGCAAGCAGCTAAGCTAACCTCTGACCCCACTGATATTCCTGTGGTCTGTTTAGAATCAGATAATGGGTGAGTATATATCACAGCACATCCCTTTCTTTTTGTTTAGAAAAACTTGACTGGGCTTTCCCGTGTCCATCCGTAGTTCCTTAATCAGTGTACTGCGGGGCCAGTGGGCATTCAGGCCCCATGACAGGCCTTCATTAAAATGAGCAATAAGAACTGTCAAGAACTGCCAATTTGCCAAAAACAAATTGGGAAACAGTAGAAACACAAAAAATTATTAGTTGAATAGAATTCTCTAAAATAATATAAATGTTAAAGATATTCCAAGATAAAGGTCTTTATAAAAATGTTAAATGAAGAAAGTTAAGAATCTAAAACTATATGGGCTAGAGAGATGTCAGTGTTTAAGATGAGTGCTTGATCCACAGTCCTGAGTTTAAATTCTAGCACCTCAGCACCATGTAGCAAGCTGGGCATCCCCACAAATACCTTAACCTCAGCTCCAAGTTGAGAGATGGAGGGGCAGAGACAGGAAGATTGCTGAGGCTTACTGACTTCCAGTCTAGCAGAGAAAAGGAGTCCCAGGGTTAGGGACAAGACCCTGCATCAAAGGACTAGGTACATGGTGAGAGAGGACAACACCTTTTGACCTCCATACATGTATAGAGGTATGTGCACACTCACACAGATACAGATAAAATTAACCTTAAAAAATGCATACTATGGCTGGAGAGATGGCTCAGTGGTTAGGAATACTGGCTGCTCTTCCAGAGGACCTGGATTCAATTCCCGGTACACACATGGCAGCTCACAACTGGCTATAATTCCAGTTCCAGGGGATCTAACACCCTTATACAGATGCACCAATGCAAATAAATAAATCATTTTTAAAGATGCATACTCTAATCAGTTTGGGGGATTGGAATGAAGAGGATATTAATATATATAATATTAATATTATATGTGTATATAACCAGGTTAAAATTAGAACTAGGAGCCAGCAAGATGGCTCAGCAAGCAGAGGTGCTTGTAAACAGCCTGAGTTTTTATAAGTAAAAAACCCGAGTTCACTCCCTACAACCCACATGGTCAAAGGAGAACAGACCCCTGAAGTCGGCCTCTGACCTCCATATGCAGTGGTACACATACATACACCAAAAAATAGGTAACATAATAATAAAAATTAGGGCAGATTAAGAGCATATACCGCTCTTCCAGAGGACCTGCATCAGTTTCCACCACCCACATTTGGTGGCTCACAACCACTTGTAACTCTGACTCCAGAGGATCCGATACCTCCTTCTGGCCTTCTCAGGCACCCATGCACATATGGCGCGCGCACACACAAACATACATAAAAAAGAATTGTTTTTAATCTAAAAATAGAACCAGGAGGCTAGACTAATGATTCAAGGCCCTGGATTCTAACTCCAACAATACCAACAAAAACCTCCAGAGAAAAATCAGAACCATGTTGAGTAGTAAGGATAAGGATTAATTTCACTTTTATGTTACCGACTTACCCATAATTCTCAACGGTTTCATGCCCATATATGCTTCTTATTTCTTTTTTTTTTTTTTTTTTTTTTTTTTTTTTTGCTTACAGGAAGATTTGTCTCCTAGTTTGAGAGTGTAGTCCCCTTTATGGATGGGAAAAGCATGGCAGAGGTTATGGAAGTACGGATTTGTGGCTGGCATTTCTCAACAGCAGCTGTTCATACTTGCTTTCAGATTATATATATGCTATTGTTTTATATCTTAAACCAAATATCATAAGTCCCATCTATTAGGAATTTGCTGATTATTTTCCTTTTTGCTTTTCAGGAACATTATGATCCAGAAACACGATGGCATCACAGTGGCGGTGCACAAAATGGCCTCTTGACACATCTCGTCAGTTCTCCAGCAGCCTGCCGTAGGGATTCAGTCCTCCCTGTGTTAGTTCACTTGTGAGACTATGAAAGTTCCAGAAGTTAGGCCATTCACCTAATGTCCACTGTGGACTTTGTTATTTATGTGACAGCCAGTTACAAGATGTTAGTTGGAAAGGATTGTGGGTGTTTTGTTTGGGCTTTTGTCATTTTGCTCTTTGGAGACAGTCACTGCAGTCCAGTTTTGCAGCCCATCATTGCCTAGAACTGTGGAGCCCAGGCTGATCTCAAACTCATGGTCTTCCTGCTTCCAACTCCTGCATCCTGTATAGGCATTTGTCACCAAGGTCCAGGTCACTTTGTATATATAGAACTTCGTTGTGGTCAATAAATCCATTTAGAAGAAAGTTTTCTTTTCTGGTTCTTTAAGCGCTTAATGCTCATTTTTCTTTTTTCAGTTATTGAATTGTGATTTTTTTTTCCCCAAAAAGACCGTTATCCCAAACTACCTTTTTCAGAAGTTCCTTGAAATGTCTGTTTTTATACAAGATGCATGGACCAAACATTTCCCTTAACCTAAGTGACATAGCTAATATGTCCTTAATGAGATAATAAACTACTTCTCATTATTATATAATACAGTAGGTACTCTTACCCTCTTTCTGTTTTAAATCATCTTTTAGTGAACACAAAAATGGATTTCCTAATAACACTGTTCTACATGTAATGTGCCCTGTTTTACATTTGTGTAACTAAAGCTGAGGGACTGGCATAGTCACTGTCTGAACAAGGGCCTACATTCTTTTTTGAGGGTGTTCTCTGGAGAACTCGGCTTGGTCTACCATCCAACATCAGGCTTACCAGGAACCAAGAGAGCCTGCACATCTTAAGGGCTCCCATCTCCGCCCCACCTCAGGGGCAGGCCATAGGTAGGCATGTCAGTTACCGGAAGCCTCAATGGGGGTAGTACTTCCAGGTCAAAGCTGGAACAGCTATCCACTGCATGCCCCAGTTTATTTATTTAAATAGTTCCTACTACTCTTTGGCGATTTAATATTTCCCAGTATAAAAATATTCTACAATATTAAAGTGCTGTTTACAGAATAAGGATTTTGGGTAAGACACTTGCAGCCCTTGTGTTAAGTAGAAGGTATATAATTATGTATGTAACATGTATGTAATGTCCTATCTTAGGCAAACAATCTATGTGTTTATCTGCACCACTGCCAAATCTGTTGTGAGAGCATGACCTTTGTCTTACATTCTAATCACCTAGAACAGTTCTTAGTGCACAGTAGGCACTAAATAAGCTCTTGCAGAATACAAGACTATAGGATTTTGTGGTATAAAGTAGGCCTCCAAGAATAGAATGGATGTAATGAGTAAGGGTTTACAGCAAGATGAAAGCAGTAAGAGGCAAGCCAGAAGGAATACTTAGATAACAACAAATGCTTTAGTCTGTTAGGCAGGAGGTAAAAAGTCTAGAAGGCAGCTAACTCAAGAAAATGCCCTAAGAATCCTAGACCTAGCTGCGTGGTGGTGGCTCACACCTGTAATCCCAGCACTTTGCAGGCAGATCTCTGTGAGTTCAAGGCCAGCTTGGTCTACAGAATGAGTTCAAGGACAGCCAGGGATACATAGAGAAACCCTGTCTCAAAAAACAAAAACAAAAAACACCACACAAAACAAAACAAAAAAACAAAACATAATCCTAGACCTAGCAGACATGGGAGGCAAAGACATGACTGCTCTGACTTTAAGGCTAGTCTGGGCTACATGGTTCCAGACTAGCCTGTCTCAAAAAAAAAAAAAAAGAAAAAAGAAAAATCCTGGGGTTCCAAGTTTGTTTGTTTCCAATGAGAAAAACTGTTCTGCTCATTAATCTCCAATTCTAGCCTAAATGTAATGAGCCATTAAAACAATACACACCAGGGTCTTGTATCTCAGGCTAGCTTTAAACACTATTCAGACAAAGATGACCCTGAATTTCTTCCTGCATTACTTCAAAAGTGCTGATATTATAGGTGTGTGCACACAATGCCTGGTTTTTACAATTCAGTCTTTAATGAGGTTTTTGCATACTAGACATAAACTGAGCAATTTATATACATTTAGTTCATTTAATCTTCTGTATTATCCCAGTTTAGAAAAGAATGGGTTCTGTAAAATAATCAATGTGGTACTAAATAAAGGTAGGGGGCGGCAACAGAGCAAACAGAATAGGAACAAGGATTTAATTTTCTAGTCAACATCACAGAACAGAAGATGACTGATTTCAATTTTAGCCACATTAAATTTGACAGGGCACGCTGGTGATAATAATGCTCAGTAACAATGTAAGTACCTCCCATCCACTGCATTTTGAACAAAATTCAAAGTTGATAACATGGCCTGCAAGGTCTAGCTCCTGCTCATAGCTTATGCCATGTATCATGCTACACCTGCTTATCTCATAACTCCTTTCTTTAGCAGTGTCTGTGAAGCAAGCATTTTCTCATTTACTAGTAACCATTTGAGGTAGGAAAAAGTATACCCAATTTATTAATAAAGCAAGACTTGTGTTGGAAGACCTGAAGACTAGATGTCTTGTTACTTTTCTTTCTTTTTTTTTTTTTAAGATTTATTATTTATTATGTATACAGCATGTATGACTGCAGGGCAGAAGAGGGCACCAGATCTCGTTGCAGATGGTTGTGAGCCACCATGTGGTTGCTGGGAATTGAACTCAGGACCTCTGGAAGAGCAGTCAGTGCTCTTAACCTCTGAGCCATCTCTCCAGCCCCATCTTGTTACTTTTCTGTTGCTGAGACAAAACACCATGACCAAAGCAACTTAGAAAAGAAAGCTTTTAATTAAGTTTACAGTTTCAGATCATTAAAAAGAGTCCATGATGGTAGAGCAAAGGCATGGTGGTAGGAACACCTGAGAGATCACATTTTGATCCAAAACAGGAGGCTGAGAAAGGCACACTAGGAATGCCAAGAGTCTTCAAATGTCAAAACTATTCTCAGAGCACATCTTCAGGCAAGCTATGCCTCCTAATCCTTTGCAAACATCTCCACTGACTGGGAGCCACAAACGTATGAGCCTGTGAGGTCATCCATTCTCATTCAAACCACCACACTGGAGATAGGTAATTTTCTACTTTGTTCAGAACTAAAGCCGAAGTATAGTTGCATGGGGTTTCCCAAGCCCATCCCCTATGATGGTTAATTTTGTGTATTAAAACTTGACTATGATATTCAAGATACTTGAGTGTGTCTGCACAAGGCCATTTGAATATGTGTTTGTGGGTCTCCTGTAACCCAGCGAAGCCCTGAACAGACTAAAAATTTTCCATCCTTTCTCTCCATTTGATTCTTTGACTTGGGGCACTGGCCCTTCATCCCCAGACTGTGGAATTTACACCTTAATTCTGTTGTCCTTGTTTGAAATGGAATCCTACCACGACATTTGCTGAGTACAGATGCTGGGCTTCTTAGTCTCTATAGTTATGCGAACTAATTACTTATAGTAAACCGTACTGTTCCCACTTCTATTGCCAACTGTTTCTGGCTCTGGAGAACATCATTTCTTGGGAGATGCCAGGCAAATACAATTCCTCAGTGAGCTGGACAGTGCTATGTCAACTTGGCACAAACTGGGGTCAACTGAGAGGAGGGAACCTCAATTAAGAAAATGCCTTCATAAGGCCAGGTTGTCGGCAGACCTATAAGGCATTTCTTAATTAGTGATTGAGGGGGAGGGCCCAGCCCATTGTGGGTGGTATTATCCCTAAGGTGGTCCTGGGTTCTATAAGAAAGCAGACTGAGTAAGCCATGGGGAGCAAATTAGGGTAAGCAGCACCCTCCATGGCTTTTGCATCAGCTCCTGCCTCCAGGTTCCTGCCCTGTTTGAGTTCCTGTCCTGACTTCCTTTGATAATAAACAGAGATCTGGAAGTGTAAGCCAAATAAACCCTAACTTGTTCCCTAACTTGCTTTTTGATCACTGTGTTTCATTGCAGTAACAGAAACCCTAAGACACTTAGTTCTGCTGACTAACTAGGACTCAAAGGATTCAACATTTCCCTGTAATCATGTTTATTATATTAAAAGGAGAATTTACAAAAGGAAATGATATTTGGGAGAAAATGAAAAAGAAACAAGGCACACTAAGAATTCTCCTTCAGTCGAGTCATATAGAATGAATTTAATTCCTACAGCACAGAATGTGATATTTATGAAACATCTTCAGCCAGAGAAGTTCACTAGACAGTGCCCAGAGGAGGCTGATCACATGAGTATTTTCTATTAACAAATGTCAAACTTCCCGGTTCCCAGGAGTGAAGCATAAGTCTTGATTGTTCCCTATGGGAACAGTGATCCACTCATGCTTTATGAAATAGTAGGAATTCTCCTGAAATCCTAAGTTCCCAAATGCCAGCCAGAGGCCAGCTCTGTAAGCCAACTTAATTTTTTCTTTTAATTATTTTTTTTTTAAGACAGGGTTTCTCTGCATAGCCCTGGTTGTCCTGGAACTCACTCTGTAGACCAGATTGGCCTAGGACTCAGAGATCTGCCTGCCTCTGCCTCCTGATTGCTGTGAGCAATAGCATCTGCCACTATGTCTGGCTTTGTCAAGCCAACTTTTTAAAGGCAAGGACTGAACAAGGACAAGGGAATGTTCAGCTGGATCATTTTCTTAATTTGGTAATGTACTAAATTAAGTCCCAAGGACTGAACACTACTCATAAGTTACCTGACAGTAGAACAATAGTAATAAGAAATTATGGTAAATTCTTACCAAATAACGTGATCACTAAGAGTTAAAAGGTTAGAAGCTGAGAAATTAATCATATGTTTAAAGACTCTGTAAGCTTCATTAAGTCCATGGGTATGGGTGCTGACATGTTAACTAATATCCCAGATACCTTAACAATTCTTTCTTCTGATTAACAAAAATGATTCATGAGTTTTTATTTTGCTTTTCTTTCTTTGGTGGGGGGAGGCAGGGTCTGACTTTAACCTAGGTCTGTTCAAATTCACAGCAGTCCTTGCTTCAGCATCTGAGATTCTAAGTGTGAGCTGCCACACACAGCAGTAAGAAGTATTCTTAATCCTTAACAACAATCTTGCAAAACGGCATTAGCCACATTTTATAGTTTCAGAAACAAATTCAAAGAGGTTAACTTGCTCAGAATTTCAGGACTTACAATGCAGAGTTGAGATTCTAAGCAGACCAGCATAACTCACTGTCTCACTGTCCCTCAACGGTTTCTACTAATGTGTTTATATAAAAGGTATGTCTGAAGGGGCTCATCTCTGAGGACTTCAAAGTCCTCTTGGTCTATAGATGACTGTCCCACTCCATTTCAAATCTGGTCCAGGGCTCCAGAAAGAGCTATCAGTATCAAGCTCAACTTCATC